CCCAAAGTAAACAGAATTCCTTCTACTCCCTCCACATCTGCTATGTGTTATCTGGCACTCACCTCTGACCCTGATATTCATCATAAGAATAAGAATTGCATCTTATTCAGCTGCTTGTGTGCACTTTAACTCCTGTGATCACTGGCTGTTGAAATAGTATGTGCTGGAAGGAGAAATTGCTGAGACATCAGCAGGGCTCAAACTGGACTCTCCGCTTTCTTGAACACTTTTGGATAGTTAAACAGAAGTCTAGGGATAAGCAGGTCATCACTGTATACTGGGGGACAAAGCTTGGTATAATTCAGGATTGTAGTAGCTAGTGAATGTCACAAAACAAGTTCAATGCTAACTCTTAATGAGAAGGACTTTCGAGTTCTGTTTATAAGCTGCTGGAACAAATGATATTATGCATCTGCATAGAGAGACAGTATCCTCTATGGAAGCAGTAAGTTTAAAAGTATATCTGTGATGCAAACAACAGTTAGTGATCCTCTTGATTTCATTTAATAACACCACCCTCCATGACCTGTTGGTATCATTCAGGAAACAAACTAATTTTTTTTGCAAGTAACAGTTTTAAAATCTGGTCTTGTACGTGAACATCTGTATGTTAGGATGAACAAAGATCTGGTCTCTGCCACCCCACTAAATGGGACCCATCTGAAATTCTCCTTTTTTCACAAGGATGGACAGAATTACTTTTTGGACAGTGTGGAGGAAGAAATAAAATTGCCAATTTATTTGCCAAAGATGAATCAATTAAAACTTTGGGAAATTTACCAATTCTTTGATTACTAAACACTTTCTGCTACTTGCTCTCTTCTTTCATGGCAAAGGTGTGAAGGAGGAACCCTTTGCTGGCTCCTAATCTTCAAACTCATATCTTCAATTGAATTACGATGATTGTCATAGAGGAATGGGAGCTAAATGTGAATTTGGACTGTGGGATAAAATACAAAAATCTTAAGGGCTTTTAGCTGACAAGTTTATCTCCCTCTCTCCACCCACCCACCCCAATCCTTTTGATTTTTAGAAAAAATATTTGAGAACCAATGGTGTTATGAGACCAGTGTGGTTTATCCACTGCCACTCCTACCTTTGGTGCTACAAGCCTCAACACTACTTACAGAAAAAACCAAGACTTTCTTGTACCCACACTTCAAGGTGATCTCTGTCAGTCCAGCAAAAGCAGCTCTTGCATGTGCACCTTCTAGTCAGAAGGCTATCATGTGGATTACAAGCACTTAGTAGTGCTCAGTTATACATACCAATTATCAGGATAGGAATAGATTTATTTCTTTCCTTTTAAATTGTTTATGCTTCTTCACTTACCAAGTTTATTTCCTTGAGCATGTCTGTTTTAATATTTAGCAAAATTAACAAGGGATGAAATAGGTGCTAAGGATGTTAATTATGTAATTATATTACATGAACAAAGACATACTGTGTAACGGGCAGGGAAGAAAAATTACAAAGACCTAACATGAGGAAATTAAATCCCATGTTAGGTTTTTGATTAAGGTTCTGATTTTTACTGTGTTGCCAGTGGCCACTGGTGACCTCAAATGTGAAAGTGAAGAGTTTTATTTCTTGTTTGACTGTATTTAAGTATGCACATGTGCATCTGCTATATGGTCACATTAGTGGTGGGGGCGTATCAGCAGATTAAAATATGGGAGGCAGGATTCTCATCCAGAAAATCATCTGTTTGAAAAAGACTGTAAAATGAAATGAAAAAGATCGTATGAACCTTAATGGTATCTAATAGGTTTCAGTTTGCGAATTGTTAGCAATCATGCAGTGTCCTTTGGTGCCCTTTTCATCTTGTTTGTTTTAATAAAGACCAGTTAGTTTGAAAGATAATTCTCAATTGGAATTGACTTCTGATCACCTTATCACTTCACAATTCTTTATACATCAGGAACACTTGAAAGTATATGCACATGTTTGTGGGGATTTTTCTTTTCCTCCAGAGAGATTCAATTATTTATGCTACAATTATTCTTATTGTGAGTTATTTTTATAATTGAATCAAAACTGTGCAGGCTGATACAGCCCCAAGTTACTGTTGTGATCAGGAAAATCCTCAAAATAGCTGAGTAGAATAACTTTGTCACTTGTTTGTCATACCAGTTATGACAATGGGTCATTCCATGGATGTCTAAAATGATCCTTAGCCACATTTTATGAAGCCAGAACTGTAATCCAATAACAATTTTCTGGCTAAGTGCTTCTCAGTTGCCACTGGGGACTATCTGCATCACTGTTGATGCTCTTAAAATGAGTTTAAGTTAAAAGGACACAAATTTCATATTTCTTTCCTTATTTTCTTGAGAGTAATCTAAGAAAATGCTATTTTAAATAATTGCATTCTGGTTCCTGAGGGATATCAGCATAATTGCATTGAGGATACCTTTATTTTTGTGCATTTATTTATTAACAAAGAACTACATTCCATCTGTAAACCAAATGATTGGTCCACTGGCACAAAACAATAAAGTAATGTAACCTCTGGTTCATTAAATTGGAATATAGGGATTGAATTACTAATTTATGTTGGTTTGAATTTCATGTTATAAATTTTAAGATTCTAAGATGTATGGGAAAAATATATCCCATTATGTAGGCTACCTACAGTTCCAGCCAGGAAAATTTATATAAGACTCAAGGAAGATGAAGAAAGGAGATGTACTGAAAACCAAGACTGGCATGGTTCATCTGGTACTTTGGTGGGCACTTCAGAGAAGGCACAGCTAAAAAAAACAACAACAACAACAACAAAAAAAAAAAAACCAAACAAATCAATAAAGCACAAACTCCTATTTAAAATGAGAATAGTCTGTAGGAGTAATTTTTAAACATGGATTATGTGGAATGCTGGTTTCTGAAACTCCGCAACTTGAAGGTCAGGTAGCAAAAGAAATGAACAATGAGAAAGAGAGATGCTTCATAAACCTTTAGTTTAATTTCATTTCTGTGTTGTCTCTCCTGCAATCCACTCTAGTGTTTTATTCACCATAATCTTGAATTCAAAACTTTTGTACAAATTTCAATCTGCTATTAAGTTCACTCTATTCAGATCATTTCAGTTTGATTTCTGTGTTTAACAGTCTCTGGAGCTGTTTGTGGAAGCAAATATAAAGCCTATATAAGACAATATGTTCTCTTCAGCATTATTATGCTGACTGGATTCCTACTGGGACCTAGCCCTCTGATACCACAGGTTGAAGTGTGAACAGGCTCTTATTTCAACCTGTAAGACTACAGACAAGTCACTTTTTCAACAGTGTGTGCCTCAGTGTTGCACCTCTTCAAAAGTTGTGTTCATTTCCTTCTTGAGTAACACTAAGTATTTCACAAAGGCTGCCCTCAGATTTTCTGGGGAAATATTAGCTAAGCTTTCCCTTTCTTACAAAGAATGGGTAATCCAAGCCACCTGTATGGCAATCTGTCATGAACATTTAGGAACTGAAAGTTGATTTAATGAATTTGAGATGATGTGATGTTTCCAGAATTTCAACAGTAGAGCCATATTTACTATGAACTTAAACTGCCTCCCTCCTTCTCCACAGTGGGCTTTTGTTTGGAAATCAGATAGACATAGGAGAGTGTTTGTCTCTATTATGTACCAAATCTCACTTTTTACTGAGTTTTAAGGAAGCCACAACAGGAAGTAGTTTAATACATCTATGAAATAGCACATGACTTGTTTGTTTCATAGTGGTTTTCAGGTGGAAGGTGCCATTATGATGGGGCAGTTTGCCTGCTGGAAGTCTGGGCTTTCTCTGCAGAAAAGTTACCAATTATTTGATTATTCATTAACATACTTTGAACCACCATTAATTTTGATACACAAAACAAAAGTTCAAGGTTCTTTCAGCTTAAAATTTGCACTTGCTTGATGGTAGAGGAGATTTCAGTCTCTTCTGATCACAGGGAGAAGCTTGCTCCTCTCCACCCTGGTGTCAGGTGAAGGCTATGAGCCCTCAGGCAAGTCAGCAACAATTAAGTCTCTCAGGTCAGAGCAAGGCCAGCTTGGATCAGGTTCCTCAGCACTGGTCCTGTTAAGTTTTGAACCTCTCCAGTGGCAGGGATTGCACAGTATCTCTGCCCTACATGTTAGTTTTTCACTGTCCTAATGATTTTTTTCCCGCTTTAACAATATTTAATTGTAATCCTTCTTAGTGTCGATTATTTCCCATCCTGTCACTGGTGCACCTCTTTAGAAGAGATTGGCTCTCTCTTTCTCTCTCTCCCTCCCCCTCTCTTCTACCTTAGACTGTGTTTGAGACCAGCTAAAGTTGCCCTTTGCTGAACCATCTCTGTCTTCCAGGGCTTCAGAATTTTCAAGAAATAGTGTTCTGCCTTTCGTAGTTGGACCTTTATTGAACCTTCTTTGGACTTGATTGATAAACGAATTCTTACACTCTTGTGTAAGAATCAGGTTTTCTATTTCAGGGTCTGAAATGTGGGTGCATTAGGGGTCTGTAAAGTGTATAATCTGGATTTGATAACCATACTATGGAAAGCTGGTTTATGAAGGACAGGCCTTTGCAGGTCATACGTTTGCTACAAAAACTCATGTCACTTCGTGTGCATTATCTCACTGAAACTATGTGTATTTCCCTTGAGGCAATGGCTAAACACCATGAACCTTGATTGTTTCCAAAGGCTCCGGGAGACCCAGGCATCCTGAGCTCTAGTTTGTGCTGATTGTCCATAATGTACTTGAAGCTTATCTTTCTATACTTCATTGACTCACAATATATAAGCATTTGCATAATATGAAATCTCTAAATGGAAGAAAGGTGCCAATTATCAAATATGAAATAGATTTCAGGATGCTCAGCCTTTCACTTTTCATTATAGATGTGTCCTTGCTATTCTTGAATCCTGCCAGGAGGATGATACTAGAGGGTTTTATGGGTACTTGGCTGGAAAAGATATGATTTACATAAGTTTAATTACTAACTATCCGCTTTGTGTGGGTTTTTTTCTAGAGTTCTTGAACAGGAGGTAATCTGACACAAAGCATATTTACACCATAGGTAAGTGACACAACTGATTATATGAAGTTTTTTGACAGTATTTATTGAAATGAAATTGCAGATCAGGAAAGCATGATGTAGGTTGTGCTCTAAAAAAATGAGAAATACAGATTTGCAGAATACAGCATAACTGTAAGTCATTCTAATGTTGACAGACCACTTCCAAGACATAAAAGTGTATTAGAAATGAGGTATTTTTCTATTTATCTATTATCTTTCTTGAATCTCTTCATTGAAACACAAGCTTCCAGGTCTGCAAGTCATTCTCACATACCAGATGGAGTTCAAGCTGTTGTTTCCTCAGCTACAGTTTTGTGTGTGAATTCCCTTCTCTCTTCTGTGGATATGTATCCCCCTACAATCTCCAGTCAGCTATCTCCTGCCATAGAGGAGTGTGAAAAATGTTTTCTTCCTCTACCTTTAGAACAAATAAAGGGGTGGATTTATTCTATTATTTTAAGGGATTGTTACTCCAGTTTGAGAATAATGAGACAAATTGCTGAAAAGTAAAGAGATTGCATTTCTCTTTACTGTGTAATATAAGCTATATTTCTGAAGTATATTACTGGATTGTGTACTTCAGAGGTGGTTCTGTGAAGAAGTATCTGATCACAAGTTTGAGTTTATGTGAGGCAACAAAAGTGAGTTGATGACAAATATGGCCTGAGATATTTTCCTCTTGATTCTGATTCTTGGCAGGAGCATATTATCATATTAGAAATATTTTCATATCAAGGTAAATTACTGAAAATTCATACTGGACTCTGCTCCAAGGAGCTTTTATTAATATTGGTTAGTTACAGACCACCTGGGAGGACACTGTTGCTAACTAGGCATAATTATTTGTGTTAATCCTCTCATAAGTGTCACATTCAAACCACAGCTCCCATTATCTTTTACCATTCCTCACAGCATCCTTCTTGTCCAACCAATATCTCACTCTGGCGCTCCTTTGAAGTGCATTTGCCCTTTTCAGCTCCAGCACAGGCATTTGTGCATATGCAGCTCCCAGCTGCATTCTGTAGGCCTATATTCCAGATGCCTGTGAAGACCAAACAAAGCATTGCTGTCTATACCACAAAGTATATGAGACTACATCAGGAAAAGGAAAATATCAACCACCTGATAACAAGGAGCTGTGGATGAAGAACTATTGTAAGGAATTGTGGAAGGAGGAAAAAGAATTTACCTATTTTGAGTGGCCCTTTTCTGTTTGTTGGTTTGTGTATTTTTACTTTGCCCTGAGAAAGTAGGAATTTTAATACTACTACTGGGACATCAGTTACTTTTCTGAAGTATTGTATTTAATTGTACTGTGGTATTGTGGACAGGCTGTGAGGGGGCTCTGTGTAAATTCAACTGCTGTAAATTTAGTTTTGTAGCCAGTTAAAGTGAGCTCTCTTCTAACCCACATATTTTGCTTTGAGTTCTTTTGTTCTCCACCAGTGATCTGTTGGTGACAGGATGTAGTTCAGTTTTGACAGAAGAAGTTCAGGATGGAAGGCTGTTTGTCAGTTAGGAGATCTGTGGGCATTTGCTGCCCCTGAAACTGCCTCTGTGCTCTCTAATTTGCCTATGGGCTGCGTATACAATGTGAATCCCCCAGATCTATGGGGACTCTGGGGAAGATGGGGTGTTGGCCTCCTAAATGCTGTCACAGGCTGCATGCCGGTATATTTAATTTGTTAGGCTTCACACTTCTATTAATTCAGACAAGGTCCTCTTTTGATCCTTACCTGTTGCATGACAGTTTCAGGGCATTAGAATTGTTACTCAGACAACTGGATTTGGTATCAAAATACAGGAGAAGCACATAAAGTAAGATAGCTAGGGAGAAAAAGTGGAAGTATTGAGAGGACACTGCAAACATTACTTTAAAATCTGAAGAGATTGCTTTTTAGATTGAGTAGCCAGCACTAGAGTAGGAAGGAGATGTAAGAAGCTGGGCTTGATATACAAATAAGAACTGTTCTTAAAAATTTCAAAGAACAAGTGGTTTCTGCCATAGCACACCTAAACCAGATTGTTTCAGCACACCTAAAACCTAAAAAGGTTGCATCCTCTTTCATATTGCAAGTAACATAATAATATTCAGGATTTTTTTTCACCCCTGGGAATCTTAAACATAAAACACTGTTCCACACACTTGTTTTATAAAGTCAGGATGTAGAAGGGATGCAGGGCACTGGATGTCCTTTATTCTGTGTTGGTGCTGGGGGAGCTGCAGTTCTAGTTTTAACTCCAGCCCCTTATAAACCATACTAGCCTAATGTTCAGCCAAAACCCAGCCACTGCATTTGTACTTTTTAAACAAATTGAACAAGTGGAAGTAAAGCAGACTATAGGTTTTTTTTCACTCACATTTTTAGAAATGCATTTGATAGCCTCACTATTATAGTTAAGACCAGCAGCCCTGTGGTTTTATAATTTTTATTAAATGGCACTGCTTTAGACTAACTGGCAGTAGGCTTTTTTCTAATCACGCAGCAGTTTTATTGAGATAACTCCTCAGTCATCAAAGGCTCCTTCTTTGGTTGCACCACAATCATTATGACAGTTCCAGGTAAGAGTATTTGGCAGGGATAGCTCAAGGGTTCATTCTTTTCAGAATGTTTACTTTACCTGACATGTCTTTCCTGGGTGCCACAGTGATTAATCATCTCTATATTATTTAAGGGAAGTTAAGGAATAATATTCTTCCCTAGAAGAATATTCTTCCCTGGAAACAGATAGAGGGTGTATAACAAAAATAATAAATAGTAAAACCCCTTCAGTACTGAAGATGTGCAAGGAGAGATGCTTGCACAGCAAGCAAAACACTGTGCAGAAAATAGTGTGAGCATGTGTATTCTAAGTAGGGCAGAAAATATTGACTGTCATTATGATTAACTGAAAATTATCACTTATAAATTATGGTAAACAGGATTTTTAAAAATAATTTATTCACAAACTTTAAATATTTGGGTTGATAACTTCCACATCAGGCTTCCTCCTGGGGCAAAACATTTGGAAAGACTATGTTAAAATGGTTTGGGTTTTTTTGGAAAGGAAATGAATATGTATTGTTCTGTGTAAAATTCTGAGCACTTTTTCTCCCCTGAATTTCACCTTTCTTTTGCTATTTCAGTATACCATCAAAATCTATTGCCAAAGTGTGATCTTCTTTCCTTGAAGTACTAGTTCCTGTTGAGAAAGAGGCTATTGTTGCCTTATTTCATGAGCTTAAATAAGTAAGATCTGTAGAGTGACTCTAAATATTCCTAGTGATGCTATTGAATCACAGGCTTATTAGTAGAAGTCCATGCTATGGTATTTGTGGAGAGCTAAATAGATCCAAATTTTTAGAAACATGGTAATTTACAAATAAAAACTGAGATTATGAGTTGAGAGTTAAGTTAAAATCAGGATGAAATCTGCTGGATAATGCAAGTACAGCAATCACTCATTGAGCAGTTCAAATATTTTCTTCAAGTAAATAAAACCCAATATTTTATTTTTTTTTCTTCAATTAAGTGTGTGCCTTCAGGCCCTTTTTATTGCATGCTTTTTAGAACTTGCTCCAGAGACAGATCTATTAATTTCTTCCTAGGTTTCTGCATAGCACTCAACACTATAGTGCTCCAAAAACCATTAATGAAGTTATTTTCACAACACCCCCATGAAATGAGGAAGGATTATTGTACTCATTTGACAGATGGAGACTGGGGCAGAGTAAATCAAAGTTGAAAGCACCTAATAATTTGGCAGTCCAGTTTGAGACATCCTGCTCCGATCTTTTTCACAACATGTAACATTGGGTAGTAAGCTGAAAGCACAGCCCCCTTTAATTTCAGCTGCATTTATGAGTGATCAGCACTTTAAGCAAGGCAGACCCCAGGTTTCAAGCTTGGTATGGAGCATATGAGGAACATACACTTAATAGATGACCTTGAGTGAAAAGCTTGGCTTTAGGAAACTTGTCCTATATCTCATAGAATGTAATATTAAAAAAACAGATGTAGACTCCAAACTATTTGAGGAAACTTTATAACTACCTGAAGTAGGAAATTGTCTCTTTTTCTTTTTTTCCCCCTACCTTTCTCACTCATTACATAACTCTGAATGTCAGCAATGCATGGGGCAGCCCATCTCATCCTTGGACAGCAGCCTTCTGCCCTGCATTGATTTATCCCACAGACAAGTCCATGCCACGCATTGTGTAAAACAGTGATGTTGTGGAAAACTCAGTTTGCAATTATGTAAATGTACTGGTTTTAGCTGGGGTAGAGTTAATTTTCTTCACAGTATATAGTATGGGACTGGCTGCACGAGTGTTTAACCAAATGCCAAACTCTTGGTCTGTCTTTGATCATAAACACTAAAGTTTGAGATGTATCACCAGAGAGAGCTACTGGCTATTAATGAGATAAGAAGCATACTGGTGTAGAGTGGCTCTGTACATGTGTCTGTAGACAGATGCAGTGTGAGCAGGGATGATTGCTTTTTAACTGTACTGATTTCCTCCCATTCCCTATCTCCTACCCCTCAGTGTTATACCTAGATCTCCAACATTGTAGGGTAAGGAGTACTGTGTTTTACTTGTGTAGAATTTAGTATGTTGTGGTCTTGATCAAGGAACTTCAGTTGTTTTGGTAGAGTCTCTCTGCTTTCATGTTATTCATGTTATCACCAGAAAAAGAATGAGTCTCAACTAGATAACTGAAATATTTTCTATATGGAATGTTCTCTGTGGACCTCTGAGGTGGTGACCACTGGCAGTTTGCTCTTGCCTAGAATGTTGTAGGGAGGGTTGTGATTTCTTCACTAACTTTTGTTTCTCTTAAGTGAATTTAATGTGCTCTACAGTTTTCAATTTGCTAAAGTACTAGTAGTTTATTAAAAGAGAACATTAAATTGACCTGTATATCTGTATCACAGGACTGTTGTGAAGATTAATAATTACATAATGTTTATAAAGCACTTTTTATAAGTGAGAAGTGCTATAAACTGCTAAGTATTAT